GAGAATCTCTTTGTGTAATCTGCTTCTAATCAGGTTTTTCCTTTCTTCTCGATCGAAATTTGGAATTAGCTACGCAGTTTCTTTCCAGAGGCATCCCGTTCTTATTCAATCCTTGGATCGTCAGGCATCTATCGCAACAAGACTATGCGGTAAAATTAATCATTGTTTTCTTTGCTCCTACATCTGTTCACTGAGAGCCCAGTTTGTGTTTAGGTCTTATAGATATGTTCTTAGATTTTGCCAATGTAAGGAGGTGGTTTAGCTTAGATTCTATATTTGTATGCATTTCTTACCGTAATAGATGGGTTTTGTTTCCTATTGCCAAGTAGCAAAACGTAAGCAGTTAGATGAATTTTAGGCGTGGAAGATCAGGTTTTGGTTTCTGTACCTGAAGTCATGTTTTATAAGTATTAGCTCTGCTTGATTTTACTCAACTTTCTTTTGATTAGCTATCTGGATGATGTTTCCTTCTTCCATAATTTTAATGGTTTTTGCTTATAAGCTGGATCTATCTTTTTTTCATCGCAATGCAGCTCTACTCGGTCCAGTTCCATCTTTTTGTTACCTGTGTCTTGTTTCTCAGCCGGGAGGGATTCCGGCGCGCTTGCTTGCGGGCTAACATTAACAGGTAGCAGTTCACGCTGATGCAGCTAACATCATCGGTTCATGACTAATTTTGCGGCCACTGATATTCCTTAGAATTTGTGTTGCAGTGATGATGTGACTAGTTTATTGAAAGTTGCGTGGGTGACGTTTCCACTCGGAATAGCCATTACTATTGCGGCATGCATCTTTGTGTTATGGTCGCAGAACCTTAGTTACTCCGACACATATGCACAGGCTATCTTGATTCACGGTACATTGTTTTCGTTTTCTATGCCTTTATCATATTTCTTTCGCTTAAAGCCTTGGAATCTGAAAGTTTCTGTTTTGTGGTCGTTTTCTTAAGTCTGTAACAATTATAGCAAGATCCATTTGTTTCTTCCATAGCTACGACTTTCTTGTTTCTTGAAGAAGTTTTCCATTGATGCCTCTCGTCTTTTCCTTATAGGATTTCTCTTAGTAGTCCAAATTTAATTTCTGTCTATATATAGCAGGAGGGTAATTATAGTTATTCTTCTTAAGGACTAACGTATTGAATTGGCAGGATTTGCATGTGTACTGGAGCTAATGGCTGAGCCTTTGTATATCCTCTCTCAGACATTGATGTATCTAAATTTGCGACTGATTGTTGAGACTGTTGCTACATTTTCACGCTGTGTAATTTTGTGCTCTCTCATACTCAAGCAAGCCAACATGGTACATATTTTTGTGTTAATAAGCTATTACTTCTTACACCATTCCATTTCGTTTCTGGCAAAAGAAGCATGCTTAAAGAGAACTTATGATAGAATTAAAATTTTACCATCTTCAACTTATGTAGGAAAAAGGGATTATCTTTGCACTGTCACAAGTTGCATATGGAGGTTCCTTATTTCTTGGGTACTGGGCTTATTTTCTCATTCGTGGTGTTTTCAAAATTTCGGATCTCTTTCCTTTCAGGTATGAGCTCTCTATTACTTGATCTCCTAACCAGCATTCGTAACTCTTGATATGCCCCAGTCAACTCATTCATTTCGAATAATGTTCGACAATATTTGTGATGTCACAGACCTGGGAACTTCATGGATCTCGATAGGCAGCTCTCGAACATGTGTATGCTATTTACTTTTCAGTCCTTCCGAAAGTTGATTCTCCAAGAAGGTGAAAAGTTTGGTCCTTGTATGGTTAGATACACCTTATAACCAGGCTGTTTATGGGATCCTCGACAAACTAGGCAAGTCTCTTTGGTTAAAAAATGCAAAATTTTCCTGGTTACAAAGTATATTATTTATTGAGCTTATAAGTGTTTTTACACAAATTCTCTAAAACTCCAGGAAGTCTAGTTGTACGTATGGTGTTGCTTCCCTTTGAAGAAAGTTCATACACTACCTTTGCCAGGTTCGCATCAAGTTTATTTCTCTCCTGAGTTTAGTGTGGTTCAGTGTTTGATAAATCTTACGTCAATTTTTTTATGATATCGGATCACTCATGGGTTTCTTAAAGTTCATTACCATATATGG